TCATTTTCCCTTGTTTCCAGGAAGTTTTTCATTTCTTTCTTGATTTCATTGGTAAACCATTCATTGTTTAATAGCATGCTATTTAGCCTCCACGAGTTTGATTGTTTTTGAGTGTTTTTATTGTAGTTGATTTCTGGTTTCATGCCACTATGGTCCGAGAAGGTGTTTGATATGATTTCAATCCTCTTGAACTTGTGGAGACTTATTTTGTGACCTAACATGTGGTCAATCTTTGAGAATGTCCCATGTGCACTTAAGAAGAATGTATATTCTTCAGCTTTGGGGTGGAATGCTCTGTACATGTCAATGAAATCCATCTGATCTAGTGTGGTGTTTAATGTCTCTGTATCCTTGTTGATTTTTTTGTCTGAAGATCTATCTAGTGAAGTCAGTGGGTGTTAAAGTCACCAGTATAACTGTATTGCTGTCGATCTCTCCCTTAAAGTCCTCCAAAAGTTTTTTCGCATACTTAGGTGCTCCTATATTGGGTGCCTATATGTTTACCAGGGCTATATCCTCTTGTTGGATCGATCCCTTTAGTATTATGTAGTGGCCTTCTTTTTCTCTTTTTATGGCCTTTGCTTTTTAGTCTATTTTGTCAGATATAAGTATCGCTACTCCTGCTTTTTTTTCTTTTCCATTTGCATGAGAAATTTTTTTCCATCCCTTCACTTTCAGTCTGTGTGAATCTTTTGTTCTGAGGTGGGTCTCCTGTAGACAGCATATATATGGGTCATGTTTTCTTATCCATTCAGCCACCCTATGACTTTTTATTGGAGCATTTAATCCATTTACATTTAAGGCTATATTGATAGGTACTTATTTGCTGCCATTTTTATTCTTTATGCCTGTGTTCCTCTCTCTCTCTCTCTGTTTCTTCTTCTTACAACAGTCCCCTTAGCATTTCTTGCAGCACTGGTTTGGTGTAGTAAACTGTTTTAGCCTTTTTTAGTCTGCGAAGCTCTTTATTTTACTTAAAATTTGAATGACAGCCTTGCTGGGTAGTCTTGGATTCAGTCCCTTGCTCTCCATTACTTTGTATGCTTCACGCCACTCCCTGAGTATAGGCCTCTGTGTCACCCCTGAGGGGGAGGAGGTGCCCTTTAGATTTCAGGGAAAGTGGTGAGTGTGTTTCCCTGTCCCAGAGCTGAGTGTCCTGGACTATTACTCTGCTCCTCTGCAGTCCAGGGGGATCAGCTAGGAGCCTGGAGTTTCCACCAGCTCTCCCGGGGGAGGGGATGCGTCAGTCAGGTTTCCCCGCTGGGCGCCCCACCCCGCGCAGTCACCGATGGTTCTGGAACTGTTCATACCTGTAGACTTGGCCTCTGCTATTTCCTCTGGAAGGTGGAGCTGCAGGGTTTGGCCGCCTGTGTCCCCCTAGGGCAGGGTGGTTGCTGGGAGGGGCCAGCGCCTCTCGGGACAAAGAGCCCTTGGGTTGGGGTGGTGCGACCTGAATCCCGGACTCGGGGCTGCAGCTTTTCCGCGGCTCCCGCGAAGCTCCCGCCTGCCCGCCTTCGGCTCCCGGCTCGGCGCCGCCCGCCCGCCCCAGCGCCGGGTGAGTAGCTGCAGAGGGAACTCCGGTGGGCTCGGGTTTAAAAACAAAAGGCCCTGTGGCTTTTTAAGTCCG